TATTAGAGAGCCACTTATTTTAAAATCTCGGATCTCTCGCTCCACCCTTGCTTCTAAAAGTCGATTTAAAAAAAATGACCGGTTCCTTTAATGAAAATTTCTTTTTTCCCATAACACCCTTATTTCTTTTCCAAAATGACAGCCCTCATCCTTTTCCTCTCCAGTCCGAACTATTCTTCTTCCTCCTTCTCCCATCAATTTAGGTGACTTCTTGGGTCTGAATTAAATTGAATTTTTATGTGTTGATCATCAAATCAATAGATTCATAAACTTTATATTAAATTGGTTTAAAATAGAGTAAAAAAAGTATATTCATATTTGAGCAGTGGGTATGGCTTGATGGATCTGGGCAGTCGCTATGGTGGAGAGAGAGCCAAGGATAGAGAACTAGAGATAGAAAGAGTGAGAACCAGAGAACTTGGGAGGAAGATAGAAAAACGGAGAGAAAAAGAGAGGTGATTTGGGTGGGTTTTGGAGACACAGGAAAACAGATGGTGGGGGACGTAAGAAGAAAGAAGACAGAAACAAAGATAAGAAAATAAACGGCGGTGGAGATATAAAGAAATACCCGTTTGGTAAGCTGGACTGGACTAGATTGGATTAACCTTTCTACATTACACTGGACTGGTTAGGATATGACTGGATTTTAAGAAGTTGTTTGGTGCAGTACAACACCAAAGTTGAGAACTTGAGATTAGTATGCCATTTATTTATTTATTTGTTTTTATATTCCCATTTCCAAATTAATTACAACAAAATAAATTTTCAATCCAACAAAAAAATACAAATATAAAATAAAGGGTGGAAGCTAGAAGACGAAAGGCATGAGGTGGAGTTTGATGGCAGCAGCAGGTACCCAGAAGTAGACGCCAACACTCAAGCTTTCACTTCCTCCCCAAATACCAGATTTACCTACTCTTCATCAGATCTTGAATTTTCAGCCACCTCCCTTCATATCTCAAAGAACAAAAAATTGCAAAATTATATATATAAATAAAGAGGAAGAAGTTATGAATTTGCCTTTTACCAATTTTTTCTTCCACCATATGCCTTTCATTCAAGATCTGAGGTCTATATATGGCAACGAAGAAGATTTGGCAGAGGTGAAGAGAGAGAGGATCTGAGAGAAGAGAGAAGAGGAGAAAAGAAGAGAAGTGGGGAAGAAAGAGAGAAGAAGAAGAGAGAAGAAGAGAAGAGAAGAGAAGAGAAGAGAAGAGGGGAAGAGAGAAAGAAGAAGAAGAGAGAGAACAGAGAAGACAGAGAAGACAGAGAAGCGAGAGAAGAAGAGAGATGGCTGGAGGCGTGCTCTCTGGCTTCGAAACCCACGTCTGGGGTTGGGTTTCTAAGCCCCAATTATTTGGGACTTGGATCCAGAGTCCATATCCAGTCCTAGACACACTTTAAGTCCACCAAATAATGGCTAGGACACATGTCCATTTTAATTGAAAATATCCAGTCCAGTCCAGCTTACCAAACGGGGCCTAAGGGATTAGGTTAGGGTTGGGATTTGGTATTTGGGCTGCTGCGAAATGGGCTGGGATAAAAGTAACTGGGCTGCTGGCATATTAAACCTTTTTGTTTTTCTGTTTTTGTTGGAAATGTTATATTAACCTTATCATGAATAAGAGTTGCACAATTAAAAATGTGTGACCCAACTAAAAATGTTATATAATTTTTAATATGTTAATATTAACTAACAATGAATGCACTTGTTTAATTTATGATATTTTTTTTATGTAACTTTTATTTATTAAATCTTATTTCATCTTTAAAAAAAATTTATGAACATTTCAAAGGAAATAGTAGTATAGTAGATAGCACCATTACTTATAATTATATGTATATTTAATTTGTTTAGATAAATTACATGATTTTATAGATCAATCTGATCGACAAACCGATTGATAGTTCAATGTTTATATTTATGTGCTTCTATTGCTAGCAGATGGCACAATAATTAGAAGAAGACTCTTAGAATCATTTGCTTGGTTAGTAGCAGTCAGATATTGTATATAATGTCTTACTTGCTGTGGTGCAGGGGAATATGACTTTTGAAGGGGCACCACCATCAAGAAGCAATATCAAGTTCAAGATTCAACTTGTTCTCTTTTGCTTGGTCATGGTAGCAGTCGTGTCATTTCTTCTCTGGAGGTTCTCACCTGGACTGCGCTCACTATATAGTGAATGGAGAATGAGAAGGACGCCGTTTCCTATGAATTCTGGGAATTCCGCACCCTCACCATCTACTACTCATTGGCCCATGCCAACACCAACAGCACCTCCAATGCCAAGTCCTCCATGCCTCCGAAGCTGCCATGTATGTGGATATCCCAGTTGCCAGTCATATGTGGCTTGTCCATATTGTGGCCAGATTTCCTCATTATCTGTAACTTAATTAGTTTCTATTTTACTATTAGGATATTAAGACTTATTGGTACCCTATTTTGGTTTAATTATATGGATTGGTACTCTTTTCTTCTCTGGGTTTTGTCCCAAGTGGTTTTCCCCGAGAAGGTTTTAATGAGGCCGCCATTAACATGCTAGCCTTTATTATGTACGTTCTTATATGGTTTTTAATGAAGTAACCTATTTGCTCTATTTTGCCAAGTTGTTTGACAACTTCTCCCCTGCAACACAGAGGCAAAATTTCAGCTTCATGTTCTTTGCTAGTTCACAATTAAAGAACATCAGTAGTATCATTCACATCCCTATCTCCTTAACTCGAGAATATTTTCCGCATCAATCTAATAAAACCTTATGATAAAGTGGAATTAATTCTATTCTTCCATCTGAATGATGTAAACTCGTAAAGTACTTTATATGGCAGAGGTTTTCCAAAAGGTTTGCTTCCATATTTGTTTGTGCACCAATTATTGCTTGCACTTGGACGTTGTCCAAAAGATTAAGAGCTGCATTGGTTAACAAGTAGAGTGTAACACAAATTACATAATGACCGTAGTGTATTTATCATATAGCAAGTGATACCATGCCTATGCATCCCTAAGAGTTAAGGTCACATGTCAAACCCCAAATAATAATGAAGTAGCTTGGTTGAAATCAGAGTATTGCCTACATGAGAGTTGAGATTATTAACCATAAGTATCATAAGTATTGGGTACATTTGCTGCATCACATGCAGAGGAGGGGCTTGTTAATTAATCTGTGAAATTTCGATTATATTAATTGCTTTGTCTCGCCGATCTCCTCCTCTCCTTCAAGTGCTGCCATGAGAATTATATATCATCTTTCTTCTTTATACAAAAGAAATACTCTGCAGTTCAAAAAGTTTCATGAAGAATTTGGCCTAAGTAAAACATGGCATGATCTGCAAATTGTTTCCATTCTTTGTGCAAATTTAGTCACAACACAAAGAGTGGAAACAATTTGCAGGCGCTGATTTGTTTTATAATTATAGTGAAATATAGTTTAATTTTAAGATAATCGCGTAATGATTTTTTTTTTTTACTATATTCTCTGTTTACCACTGACCCATCATGTTGTTTCTTCTTTCATTATTAATTGGGTATACACTGACTTTGTCATTTAGAACAGACTGCCACGTATATGCCTCTGTTCTGTTTCTTTAATTTAGAGACTACTTTGTAATTCCACAATATATTTAATTCAGACGTCAACAGAGAAATCTACAAGTTTAGAGGCTTTGAAATTGTGACCTTGTTTACTAGGCTTCAGAAGAAGATATAGTCAAAAACACAAGTAGCATGTAGAATGGATAGAGCATGTAGTGTAGAGGTTTTGCTTTGGAATCTCTTCCACGATTGTGGGTCGACTATTGTAATGCATGTCTTTAGTTGCAGCACACAAGAAGTATCCGAGGATGGACAAGGAGGTCACAAATTAGAAGCAAAGCATGGTTTGCTTTCGATCAAAAAAAAAAACAGAAGAAGCATGGTTTGCTTTTTCTTCCCTTGAAACTCCATTTCCTCTTGTTTTTATGTGATTCGTAGAAAAAATATATATACTCGGCTGAAGATTCCTATGTTCTTCATGGGCAAAGGAAAACTACCACATCGGCTGAAGATTTCTATGTTCTGCAAATCAAGTCTGTGGAGAGTCACAGAAAGCTCATCTCCTTCTAAGTCACAAACATGCGGGTTCGTTACGTTTGTGGCTCACGATTAAGTTTAATTGTTTTATTACAAAATCTCCGATTTTTCTGTTGGTCAAGTGGGATTTAAGTTTAATAAGGTACAGCAAAACGATTGCTAATTTTAAAGAATATTCCACGCAAAAAGATAAATTTCAGTATAATGGTCACAAACATACAAAATTTAGATTGGAAAACTCATTTTTCAGTCAATAAAATATCTCACATTTCATAGAAGCCCAATGCCCCGCATTAAGACATTCACACTAGCATTTACGATGGACACGGTCCGTGGATCGATTTCACCTCAAAATCGCGACTAAACCAATTACAATATAACAATTTGGTTCGATTTAGTTTTGCCAAAAATCAAGAAAAAAATCGAATCAAACCAAACTAATTTAAGCCAGGTTGGGCTATAAACCCAATTCAACATTGTTAATGCAATTATAGCAACAACAAAAATTCACAACTTGCTACCTTTTTTTTTCTTTACTTTCTAGCTTATCAAACCATCCTAAAACTCAACATGCAATAAAATTTCTTAGTTTAGTTCAATAACTAAAAGCTAATATTGCAAAAGCTCAAAACCAAACAATTTACGGTCCGATTTAGTTTTTAAACCGTTTGACTTTTTCTTGGTTTAAACTAAATCAAATTGCGAATTATGATTTGATTTGGCTAGTTTAGTCGGTTCGGGAGGATTAATACCCACCCCTATGAACATTCACATTAGTAAAGTATCTTCTACATCAAAATTGTTGATGCACGATTTTTGCACCACTAGTCAAAGTGCATCAAAACCTGGTCAACCCTTCCTTAATGCTGGACTTAGGGTTTTTGAGGTCGCGCTTTTGTATGTTTTCTGTTGCACTTGGGGTGCCAAGCATGGTGGACAACAACTCTAAATTCCTGAAATCGAAACATGGTGACGGGTCCACCAACCACCCTCTAATCCATGATTCTTATTTAATTTACATTTGTTGTGGCATGCCCTACCCTTATATCCACTAAAAAATAAATATTTTAGTCTACACTATCTATCCATGAACAAAACTTCAGAATAATTAAGCAGTTCCCACAAATCACATAAAAGGATCACCTGCTGTAGGTAGAGGAAAAGTCGCGTCGTGATGGTCGTACTCCTGCCTCAGCCTGTTCCAATTCACGCTGAAGCTCTCTCTGCCAAAGGAAAAGGTTCAAGATATTAGTATGCAACTCTTCTTCGCTGAAGTATTACATGTAACATTTTTTTAACCCAGAAACAAGAGACTGCAGAAAATGCATCCTCTTAAAGGCCCATGACTTACAGATACAGTATTTCCACCTTTTCAGTTCCATTCAGGTTTCCTGAATGACACTAGTAAATATAATAAACTTGAATGGTATGACTTTGTTCCCCCAGCAAGTTAATAATTTGTCAAAGAATGATACTTTATCAGAGGACTTGGGCTGGCAGAAAACTGGAATGACCAAATACTTTGCCAACAAAAAACAAAAAAGAGAAGATGAATTCTCATTTCCTTCCAAGTGATGACTTCAAAATATCTACTTGATTCATTCTCGTGGGTGTCCATGCATGTATGATGTATGTATTCATAAATAGATACATCTTACATGTATAGATACGTAGAGATGGGAGAGATGGAGGAATGCTAGCATTGATATAAAACCCTACATGCATATATCAGTAGGTAGAGGGAAAGAGGGAGGAAGGGGAAAAGCATGATTGCCAATGGATATGGCATTACAGAAAGCAGTTAGGCCCAAGTCCTCTTGGCCTTCACGGTCCTTATAATCAAACTAATATGAGACATGCAACAAGAATACAAGGGGAAGGTGTAGTTTCAAAGTCAATAATATTTAGTCTCAAAGACTGTGAACCATGGTCTGACAAATTCCTCACCCAAATTTGTCATAATCTGCCAATTACCAGTGTTTCCAATGTCAATTATTTGAGACTTAGCAGATCCAGATAGTATGGAAAAGGGTTTTCATCGCAGATCAAGACGGTACTGAAAAGGGCTTTTACCTGGCTTGTCTTTCCTTCTCCATCTCAAGGTTTTGTCGCAGCTCCCTGGTTTTTGCACGCTCAAGTTCTAGCAATCTCTGTCTCTCGATCTCTTTTTCAACTTCAGCTGCTCTCTCCCTGGTACATTAGTCCATATGTTAGTTGTGGACCAACAAATATCTAATCACTACAATATAAAAAAAGATGAGCCACTAAGGAAGCAACACCTCTCAAGTTCTTGAAGTAGCTCAGCTTCTGGTAAAGCTGCCTCTTCAAAACATTTCTGGCGGGCACGTCTCATAAGAAGTTTTTTCTGCCTGCAGGCGACTATGTCTTCATGGAGCTTGGACTTTTCTCTGATAGCAAAGGAAGATCAGAAAAACTGAATTTGAAGTCTACAAAAATACCAAGCTAAAAGCAACTGGAAACCTTCCCAAAAAAAAGGCACAAAAGTTGAAGAATTTAACATGTATTAGATTATTTATTTTGTCAAGCTGATGCATGTAAGATTTGATTATTTTAAAATTGGGTGCTCATCTGCCATCAAAGATTAGGTGCCTTCAAGATAAGGTCCTATGGCAAACTGGACTCAGAACATCTTAACAACCAACGTTTGAGCTAGTGGATCCTTCAGTAAGATAAGAACCTCATTCTTTTCAACATAAAAAACGCCTGGGAGAAGTACTACTTGACAGTGCGACACAATATGTTGCAATTCAATATAAGTAAGGATGCAAGCTTAACAATAAAAATTGTAAAATAGCCTGATTACTGACTGCTGATATTCTGAAGCTCATCTAGTGTTGTCTAGCAGTTAGTTTTATTACAGGCTAATACCAATTAAAACTAGGGATGGAAAAATTTAACACAAGAGGTAAAACTGCTGGAATTAGCAAAGTTGTCTGTGTTACCAGCCTATAGCAATTTCAAAGTAAAAAAACAAAATTTTTAATAAGAACTTGAAAGTAATATTCAGAGGTATTTATAGACGTGAAAGAGGGTGTCGCCAGTACATGTGTGGTAAGTGGTAAAAATATTTTTACCACTTACAAGGAATGAATATACCATTAATATTTTTACCACTTACAAGGAATGAATGCAATCCTTGATTTGCTTAAGGCGTGCATCATCTTCCACAGGAGCTGAAAAACAAAGTGTTAAGTTTACCATTTCCACAAACAAATTTTAACATGACCATTCTCAAACGGCCAATAGCTGTAATGAGAAATATAAGGAAAGAAAGCTTTACAGCTTAGAGAAAGAATCTGATGTCCATCTTTGATTGGTGATTCATGTAATGCATGTTCTTTCTGAAGGATGTCCCATTCTAATTCAGCCTCCTCTAGTTCCTATGACATATTCAGTTAATACAAAGACATGTATAAGTTTGGAATGTAATGAAAAGCAACAATAGTAATTCAGGCTTACCATAACCTCTTGGTCAATTTTGTTTGAGAAAATATCAAAGTACGACTTTGCAGAAGTTAAACTGGCAAGGACCTGTTACAAATTAATAATTATATATTACCTTCTAGGAGATGGAAAGGCAGTATAAGTCAACAACTAATCTATGAAACCCATGGAAAAAGCAAGGGATATAAAATTTCTTTAGTAGATGGACGTGAGGTAGATCAATTTCATCTCTTATCCTAATCCCTCCCTTTGTAACATTTATAGGACACAGACGAATAGTTATCCTGTTTTTCTTATTTTGGGAACATAAGAATTCATATCTGTTTCAAGCTTCTACAGCAATATCAAAGTAATAGATAATTGCCCAAAGTTCTAAGATGTTTTTTTTTAATCTTTCAATATGTTAAGTAAACATTGGATGGATGCCTGTTCAGATAGAATTTGAGATGTATAGATACCATAACAGTTATGACTCTTAGTATCCCAATTCGATCGAAGATAAGGCAATTCGCATGGCGTAGCTAATTCATGACTGTGATCTGGTCCAAAGGTTTTTACGATGTAAACCTAACGTTTCTTGTCATAATTCACCGCCAAAAAAGACAGATAATTCTCTCTTATCAACCACCTAGGTGATTGCACCCTATTTGGTCGATCATTGTACTTTCACACCTGCCTTTGAGCAACACCATTGTCTCCTTGTTAATTTTCCTTCCTAATTATAAATCAATGTATCTTTCTTTACGTTGAATCCAATAGCCTTTGCATAACTTAAGTAATATTCCTCTGCTAACTCTAGCGTTTTAAACTCTAACCCTATAACATCTTTTTTCCTCAATTGCTTCCAATTAAGCCCATTATACTGTCTACTTTGACTTATCGATTGTTCGGTTGACATTTTTCCACTGTCCACTACCTGTGCATCGTGACTTGACACTTCACAACCACCAAGATATCCTTCATCAATGGAAGCAAGATTTGATGCCTCTAAGCCCCTCACCGTCTCACCAGTGCATTCCATAACTCATCTACTAACTACAATTATACAATATGTCCTAACATTACATAATGTAAAGAAGCAATTTCATAGCGTCAACAAACTATTGGGTAATCTAAACATGTAATTGCATGAGGTCATGCTGCTATTGCACATGGGGTGTACAATGCAATTACATAACTCATAACACGATATGCTTACAATTTGTACCTCTTACTTCCGAATGGTTCGATGCCTCCATCCTTCAAACTCCAGTATGGCGCCTTCATCCTTCGAAGTCAGTACGTCACCGCTTCTACCCTTGGCAAACATTCAGAAAATGTCCAAACTTGAAAGCGGTTGAATGTCTCAAAACGTCTTCTTCGTTCACATCGTCGATAAATTTAGTTTAGGGTTTATGAGGAGATGAATGAGATCCAGACGAAGGAGGAGATCCAAATGGTGCACGCCTCATTTTTTTTCTTCTAGACCTTGCCTCTCTCTCACATGATTAATATTCACAAGTTCATAACAGCCTTACGAAGTTTCCAGGTCATTGATTCCCAACCACAGGATTAAAACATTAAAGTCTAACCGTTGAAAACTTTGATGTATTGATACTTCGAAGTATATTAGAATTTTCTCTGTCTGCAACCCAGATTAGGACACACTTCTTTGGAATGAGCTTTTAGTCCTTTTGCAGTCAATTCATACAATTTATTATATGCATTTATCTTCTATATATATAAACAAAAGGCAGAGAATGGTAAAACATTCAAAATACTAGAAACTACCATTTGTTAATATAAACATTAAGAATTAAAATTATTAATTAAATGAGGATAATATGGTAAATTCTACTTTTTAATATTTAATAAATAAAAAAAATTAAAAGCAAAATCAGATAATGAGTTCTACTTTTTTGGAACACAACTACCCATTATTTTTTTAAATTCTAAAATAAAATTAAAATTTTAAATAAAAAAACCAATTGGTGGGCCAGTAGATACAAAGCAAAAGGCAGAGAATTGTGAAACATTCAAAATACCAGAAAATGCCATTCCGGTTTACCTGTTACCAAAGTTCCTGTGCCCCTGTTTCCCTGCTAGTTTCGTCACATGTGGCAAGCCACTTAACACCACTTAACTCTGTTAACTCTTTTTGCTTCTTTTTACTGTTTGTTTTTTTCCTTTTTCTCACTGTTCTGCCCCTTTCTGTCTTCTCTGCTTCCCTCTCCCCCTCTCTCCTTCGTCTCCCCTCCTCTCCTTCCTTTCTTGTTCTCTTTTCCAGATCTCAACCTCCACGTTTTTTTTTTTTTGCTTTTGCTTTGTTTTTCTTTTTCTCTACTCTCCTTCTTTTTTCTTTCTTTTCTGAGTTCCTCCTTCATCACTGCGGAGATGGTATGAGTTGGCTGGGGCCAGTGGCGGACCTGTGCAGGCGCAAGGAGGTGCACTTGCACCTCCGGTCGCCGAAAAAGTCCATTAGAGCAGCTGGAGTTGCACCTCTGCTCCAGACCATTGATGCATAGAAGCTGTTCGACGAAATGCCCAAGAGAACTTGCGTTGCTGCTGTGCGCGCTGCGCGCAGCGCACGCGTGCTCCTGTTTTTTTTTACTAAAAGCAAGAGTGTAGCCGAGCGGCTATACGCTGTAAACATTCAGCGCGTACAGCTCGCGCACGCTCCTTTTTTTTTAACCAAAAGCAAGAGTTTAGCCAAGCGGCTATACGCTGTAAACATTCGAATTTACTAAAGTAGGTGGATTTGAAAAAATGCCTTTCAGCATGTGAAGAAGCAAGGACGATTTTGGGCTGTGGGCTTTCGGGCTTTTTTTTAGGCTTTTCAAAGGGCCTTTCAAAGGGCTTCTTTGGGTTTTAATTGGGTATTTTCTTTATTCAATTAGGTTTTGAGAATTCCTTAATTAAGTAGGATTAGCAATTCTCTCTATAAAAGACCAATTTAACATCACCCAATTTCATCAAAGTGTGTATTTACTGATCTAGCAGAAAAATTGGGTTTTGATTGGGTTTTTGTAATTCCTCACTTAATTGAGTTTTTGTATTCCAATTAAAACCCAATTAAGTTTTCTTTATTTAATTGGGTTTTGGGAATTCATTATTTAAGTGGGATTGAGAATTCTCTTTATAAAGGATCAATTTAACATCACCCAATTTCATCAAAGTGTGTATTTACTGATCTAGCAGAAAAATTGGGTTTTGATTGGGTTTTTGTAATTCCTCACTTAATTGAGTTTTTGTATTCCAATTAAAACCCAATTAAGTTTTCTTTATTTAATTGGGTTTTGGGAATTCATTATTTAAGTGGGATTGAGAATTCTCTTTATAAAGGATCAATTTAACATCACCCAATTTCATCAAAGTGTGTATTTACTGATCTAGCAGAAAAATTGGGTTTTGATTGGGTTTTTGTAATTCCTCACTTAATTGAGTTTTTGTATTCCAATTAAAACCCAATTAAGTTTTCTTTATTTAATTGGGTTTTGGGAATTCATTATTTAAGTGGGATTGAGAATTCTCTTTATAAAGGATCAATTTAACATCACCCAATTTCATCAAAGTGTGTATGCATCACAAGAATCCTACGTTTTTCTTTTCCTTCTTGAGTACGCCAATCCAAAGTAAGTAAGATGCATATATATATTTTCTTGAGCAAACGCCGATTTTGTTTATTCTTTTTTTAATATTTTTTTTTTGCTTATTTAGCTCTCCATGTATTAGTAAGATCAATAGCAAACTCGAGGAACAATTGTAGGTTAATTGTAATGTTATTTTTTTTTTCAATTAATTATGAATAACATTAGTATTGTTTAAATTATAAAGATTTTTAGTAGTCTTCTTTTTTCTTTTTTTTTTTTTTGGGATTTCTTAGCTTTTAAAATTTGCACCTCCACTGAAAAATTCTTGGGTCCGCCGCTGGCTGGGGCTAGGGGCTTGCCTTGTTCTTTGGCAGCCATGGCTGTGATTCAGAGAGGTTTGACAAAAAAAAGAGCAAAAATGGTGGGTGGAGATATATATATACAAATATTTGGAACTGGAAAGGCTGATGAGTTTCATGAAAATTTTGATTTTCTTTTTCTTGGGTCTTTGATTGTGAAATGTTGGAGAATTTTAGAGATTCTAAACGCGGTTGCACAAGTTGCACGGCTTGACTTTTGACTTCGATGTTGTTTGTTTAATAAGAAAATGTCACCAAAAGTGTGGATATAAATCCATGAATTTTAAAATAGGTTGTCGAAGCTTCTTTGAAGGAGGAACTCAGAAAAGAAAGAAAAAAGAAGAAGAGGAGAGAAAAAGAAAAACAAAGCAAAAGCAAAAAAAAAAAAAAAAAAAAACGTGGAGGTTGAGATCTGGAAAAGAGAACAAGAAAGGAAGGAGAGGAGAGGAGACGAAGGAGAGAGGGGAAGAGGGAAGCAGAGAAGACAGAAAGGGGCAGAACAGTGAGAAAAAGGAAAAAAACATTATTATAAATAAACCCAATCCTAGACATGTATTTATAAAAAAACCCACACACTATTTAAACATAGAAACACATCCAAAATCAACCCCAAAGTCAACAATTGTATATTTTTTGGGTGTGTTTATAAATGGGTTTTGAGTGTGTGTAATGATGAGTTTTTGGTGTGTTTATAAAGTGTTTTGGGTGTTGAGTTTTTTTTATAATTTCAGCCCCCATTTTGGGTGTTTTAGTGAAACTCCCAAAAAACAAACAGTAAAAAGAAGCAAAAAGAGTTAACAGAGTTAAGTGGTGTTAAGTGGCTTGCCACATGTCACGAAACTTAAATAATTTTGAGCTCATAGGAATCTTAAAAGTTGTTCCCAAATAATGACAACTTCAACATATACTTGAGCTCATAAGGTGTCATTGTCTTAAAAAATTTAACCAACAATTACCGTCTTGTCATGATAATTATGATGTTCTAAGCAACAATTACCGTCTCTCATATATTATATAATGTAATATATACAACTTACTAATAGATAACTTGTAATTTAAATTAATGGTCCCTTTAAAAATAATTAGACATGACTAACTTCGAAAATTTTAATTCAAACATGTGTTTTGAACACACTTATATGTATTTGATATATTTGTGTTTTCTACCTCGCCCCCAATCTTACAATTCTATATAACTCCGCCCCCGCCCTGCTTATGTGGTTTTGAGGTAAATATGTGTGTGGTTATAAGGGCTTTTAAGTATTGTACACTTGAGTTGTCCTGATAGTTCGATATTTCTCTTCATGTATTGACAGTGGCTTGTTTAGGAATATGGTAGAGTTGAGCTCCACAAGGCCATTAAGTAATCGACATCTAGTTCTTAATGATTATTCGACCAATTGAGAGCTCGGTGTCAATTAGAGCTCAACTGCAGCCAGACTTGTCGTCTTTGAATAAATGGTGTTTCAGCATAATTCATAGGTGGATTATAGGTGGATTAGGACTTGCAATCCTTTTACCTATATTATTGTTACTTCATGTACATTTCTTGATGGGGAAGACAGTTGAGGAATGCGTATCTATAACTAGAGAGGTCCCTTCACTAGCTGCCACACACCACTGCTCTAAAGCATTTCATACCTGATCCAGATTAAGAGAAGAACGAGCCGGACAACAATGAAAAAGATTTTCTCAACCTTTTTCCAATACGAACTAAGTGTAAGGAAATTGAGCAAGCCCGTGAGCTACTCTAGCAATTATATTATCGTACACTTTGGACGACATTGAAACAAAATACATGAAACTGATCAGCCAGGCGCACTCAGCAACATCAAGGCAATGACTTCGACATAACAGACGAACCACTTTAAAACCCATCACGCTCGATCAGACAGCGACTTTGACATGAGCAGGAACAATAGGGTATCTAATTTTAATGACCTTAAAAGAAAGCATTTCCCGCATTTGTCTTTGTTTCGTAGAGCACTTCCACCTATCCCTTTTTTTCATAGCAAAAGGGGGTCTAGGCTCCAAAAAGACCTCCACAAAGGAAAAGTTGTCACGGCAACAGTTGGCCTACGAAATTGGGCAAA